CAATTTGGATATTAAAAGGATTACCATATATAACACAAAATTTCTCCGCTGATTCCTTCGAGTCGAGCCTCTCGATCTGTCACTGTACCTCGAGAAGTAGAAAGAATTACAATCCCCATCCCACCTAAAATTCTAGGAATTCTTTGAGAGTTAGAATAGATTCGTAGACCAAGACGTTGGATTTGTTTTAAATTTAAAAAATTTCTGTAGTCTTTTCCTATTCCTTCTATGCCGCAGGTTTAAAACCAAAAAAGATTTGTTTTTTTCTCGATTTTTCTAACGTTTTCAATAAAACCTTCTCATAAAAGTATTTTCACAATATTTTCGTTAATATTAGTAGATGCGATGCGAACCACTCTTTTTCTATCCATATCAGCATTTCAAATAGAGGTTATTATCTCAGCGATAGTGTCCCTACCCATCGTGAACTAAAATTATGGGTGCCCCAAAGTTGGATATAATCAACACGTTCTTTTTTTTTTTTTTTTACTTAATTTGTTTGATGAATATGAATTATTAAAGGTATATACGTGAGACACAATCTACTAATTAATCTAGTTCTTAATATATTTCTTTCAAATACCCACTATAAACATATCAGTGTGATCTCATTTTATAATACCTCGGGAGCTAATGAAACTATTTTAGTAAAATTTAATTGTCTCAATTCCTGCGGGATCGCACCAAAAATTCTAGTTCCTTTTGGATTTCATTCTTGATCAATCACAACTGCAGCATTGTCATCATATCATATTATCATACAACTGTCACGTTTAAGTTCTTTACAGGTATGAACAACTACAGCTCTAACAACTTTTGATTTTTCTAGGGGCATATTTGGTACTGTTTATTTGATCACAGGAACAATAACTTCACCAATATGAGCATATCGACGATTGTTAGCTCCTATGATTCGAATACACATCAATTATCGAGCCCGGCTGTTATCTGCTACATTTAAATGGGTCTGAGGTTGAATCATATCAATTTTTTAGTCTATTCTTCCAATGCAAAGGATGAAGAAAAAAAGGAACATTTTTTGTCCAAAAAAAGATTCTTTCATCCACAAGATTCATTTCTGTTGGTTTTACATTTTTATCCTGAAATAATGAATTGAGTTCGTATAGGCATTTTGGATGCTACTATTGAAATAGCCCTTCTAGCTATATTTTCAATTACTCCACCCATTTCGTATAGTATTCGACCTAGTTTAACAATAGCTACCCAATATTTAGGGGATCCCTTTCCCGAACCCATACGTGTTTCAGCGAGCTTACTGTAATCGATTTGTCTGGAAATATACGGACCCATATTTTTCCACCACGGCGTACATTTCTATCATTGCTTGTCAACCTGCTTCGATTTGTCTAGATGTGATCCAAGTAGGTTCAAGTGCTTGAAGAGCATATTTACCGAAACAAATATGATTACCTCGATAAGATATTCCTTCATTCTTCCTCTATGTTGTTTACGGAATCCAGTTCTTTTGGGGTTATAGTTGATAGTTGTTTCACAATTCCATCTCTACTACAGAACCGGATGTGAGAGTTTCTTCTCATCCAGCTCCTCACAAATAAAAGGATTAAAAGCATTTAATTGAAATGATTAACATTTTTTGTAAGTTTCTTCTCATCCAAGTTTAGCAACTAAAAAAAAAAAAGTTTTTGCAGGCGAATATTTTCTCTTTCAATCTCTATTTCATTTGTAGTTCTCATTTGTGACTTCTCTCAATAGATGAATTAATCTTCGATTCATTTCGCCACCCCGACTAGTGAATCATTAAGATTTATTTTTTCAATAAAATCTTTTACATGCACAAGTTCCATCGTTCTCATCGCTTCGTGCTTAATGATTAGGTCCGAATTCTACAATGGAGCTCATAATCCAATTTGTTCCTGAGTCAATCTTCTTAGTCTTTATTGGCTTCAAGCTCTATATTTTTTTCTTGATTCATTTAATATTTAATTATGGATGAATCTATTAGTATTGATGCTTTATTACATTGTCTTTTATGAGATGACTCGTAGATCTTACATATTGGAATCCTACATCATTGATATTCTTTCTCTCTCTTTCTCTCATCCTTCCATTTATCCACACCTTTACTTCTTTCATTTTGTTTTACAACTTCTAATTAAAGTTTATACAAAAAAAGTTTTTACTTGCTACAAAGATATGACTGATTTATCATATCTTGATTGGTTCTTTATAACCAGATAATATGAAGTGATGAGTTGGTTATTAGTTCATACTATGGGGCTGGTCCTTTTTTAATCCTAACCCTAAAAAACCAACGAGTCACACACTAAGCATAGAAATTATATCAAATGGTCAATTGAATTTTTATTCAACCCTATAGAATTAAGAATTAGAATTTCTCATTTTCATTAACCAAAAAAAGAATGAATGAGTTTCCATTTTTTTTCTATCAATGGATAGAAGGGAAAGACAAGTAAATGTTTCTTATTCTTCGTCTATAAATATCCAAATTTTGATACCCAAGACCCCATAGATAGTTCAAACTGTATAAGAACAATAATCAATTTTAGCTCGAATAGTTTGTAGGGGAACCAAACTGTATAAGAACAATAATCAATTTTAGCTCGAATAGTTTGTAGGGGAACCCTACCTTCTCTGATCCATTCGACACGTGCAATTTCTTTTCCATCGATACGTTGTGCAATTTGTACTTGAATTCCTTTTGTATCTGCTTGTTCAGTTAATTCAATAGCTTTTTTCATTGCTTTTCAAAATGAAACTATAATCTTTAATTGTTCGGCTATAAATTCTGCAAGAATATTAGGGTTTCCATAAGGTTTTGCAATTCTTGTTATAGCAACGTTAAGTTTTTGGTTCACATAATTAAATTCTTTTTCTAGATTACTCTATAATTCTTGGATCAGGATATTTTCTATTAATAACTTTGGGAATCCCATAAAGATTATGACCTGGATCAAATCAATTCTTTTTTAAATTTCTAAACGTACAATTCCCTCGACGGCGGAGGATATTCTCATATTCTTTTGTATATAATTTTTTATAAAATCTCTTATTTTTTGATCCCTCAGAATAATTTTTTGGTTGTTCAAACCAAAGGAAATGACAACCTTGGGTTGTACAAAGTTTGAAACCAAGTGGATTTATGTTTTGTCCCATACTCTCCCAATACTATACATATCATGATATACCATAGTTGTATACTTATTTTTCCATCAAGGTTTTTTTAATGAATATATCTGTCCATATTCATCATGTTAAGATATATCTTTCACTCCAATAGTTATATGATAGGTAGGTCTTTTTATCAAATAACTACATCCTCGAGCTCAAGGTTTAAATTTCTTCACAGTAGTACCCTCATTAACTTCGGCCTTACTAATGACTAAATTGGCATCATTGGAACCCATATTGTAACTAGCATTTGCTGCTACAGAGTAAACAAATTTAAAAATGGGATAACATGCTCTATAGGGCATGAGTTCTAGTATCATAAGCATTTCCTCATAGGAGCATCCACGAATTTGATCAATTACTCTTCTTGCTTTGTTAGCCGATAGAGATATATGTCGATCGAAAGCATATACTTCTATTTTTTTCTTCTTTTGCATAGGGTTTAAAGTAGGTAAAAATTCTCCTAATTTGTGTCCTACCATCTGATCTGTTATATAAATAGGCAAATGTTCCTTACCATCATGAATAGCAATTGTAGGGCCAATCATTGTGGGTATAATGGTAGATGTCCGGGACCAAGTTTCTATTATTTCTTTTTCTGCTTTTTTATTAAGCTTATCAATTTTTCTTAATAAATGATTGACTACAAAAGGATTTTTTTAGTGAACGTGCCTTAACTTCATCCTTTTTTTTGTAAAGACGAAGAAAGAAATTCTATTTTCTCGCCTATTTACTACGGCGATGAAGAATCAAATTATCACTATATTTATTCATTTTTCTACTTCTGCTTCCAAGTGTAGGACAACCCCAAGGGGTTGTGGGTTTTTTTTTGTTCTACCAATTGGGGCTTTCCCTTCACCACTCCCATGGGGATGGTCTACAGGGTTCATAACTACTCCTCTTACTATAGGACGCTTACCTAGCCAACGCTTAGATCTGGCTCTACCCAAACTTTTCTGGTTCGTCCCAACATTTCCCACTTGTCTGACTATTTCTGAGCAGTTTTCGGATATCAAACGGACCTTTCCAAAAGGTAATTTTAATGTAACCGATTTCTCCTCTTTCGCAATTAGTTTCGCTATAGCACCCGATGCTCTAACTAATTGTTCACCATTTCCAAGTGAGATTTCTATGTTATGTATGGCTGTGCCTAAAGGCATATCGGTTGAAGTAGATTCTTCTTTTTGATCAATCAAAACCCCTTCCCAAACTGTACAAGCTTCTTCCAAAGCATATGGCTTTCTAGATGTAGATGATGATATCTATACAGATGGATCTTTTATATATCTTACAATGAAGTACCACATGGGTGGATATCTATATGATTCCAAATATGCTGAATCACTCATGGTATGATCTTTTACATCCTAGGTCTTCACGTTTCACCATCTGGCTCATGTTCTTCATGTAGCATTCAGATCGAATGACTCTATAAAATTACATCGATACTTCCACATATTATGGGTAACGTAGGAGACATCTCTATTTTTTCCCTAGGGAATCTTTAGAATTCCCACTGCTTAGCTTTCAATTCATCTCTAACCATCCAATGAAATGTGAATAACCCATCCTTCTCTCTTTGAAAGTTTGAAAGAAAGGGCGCTTTCGGTTCTATCGGTGCTTGAAACAATTTTATCTTTTCCATATTACTATATCTCTATAGTCAATAATTTTATATGAGGAACTACTAAACTCAATCACTTGCGGCCGTTACTTTTCAGTTTTCGGTTGAGGACTATCCTGTAGAGGTACTCAAATTGGATCAGTGATCGATTTCTAGGTTTCGTTGTAAACCTAATTTGTTAATTCCAATTACGTAAATCAATAGTTCAAACAACAATCAAAGATAGGGCATTTCCCATTTTTATAGGAAATTCTGCACCAGAAATAATGGTATCACCAATAATAGCCCCTTTGGGATGTAAAATATATCTCTTCTTAACATCCCCATAGTATATGAGACAAATGTATGCATTTCGATTAGGGTTGTATGCTGTGGCTACGATTCTACCATATATGTCTTTTTCATTCCATTGAAAATCGATTTTACGGTATACACGCTTATGACCTCCCCCTCTATGCCTTGCAGGAATGATTCCTCTAGCATTACGACCTTTACCACAATGATGCTATCCAAAGATCAAATTATTTTGTGGAATGGATTTCACTTGACTGTCTGCGGTTCCATTGCGTGTGCTCGGGGTAGAAGTTTTGTATAAATGTATCGCTATGCTATTAAGTATTTTGATTTAAGTTCTTTTCTTTCTAAGAGGTAGAATAGAATAACCCAGTTGAAGCGTAATGATCATACGTCCGTAATGCATTGTATGTCCCATAATAGGTCCCATTCTTCGACCCTTTCACGGAAGTCGATGACTATTCATAGCTATTACCTTGACACCAAAGAAGAGTTCGACCCTATGCTTTATTTCTATCCTAGTTGATCCTGATTCGACATTAAAAGTATATTGATTTTTCCCCAACAACTGAATACTTTTGTCTATAAATACTGCATATTTAATTCCATCCATAAATATATTTTCTTCCCTATGAATTCTAGTCTCAAGAAGAATTGATGCGAACCCCGTAGCAATGGAAACTACGAAACCCACAACGAGATTGATGCAAAACCCAAAAACGTCAATACAAACTCGGTTTTGGATCTTGAACCCCAAGAATTGAACCAAGAAACCCTAGATTAGTGAAGAACCTAAAACCTCTTGATTACAATTAAAAGAACCCACAATCTGATTGTTTAGAACACCACAAGAAATTGAATCTTGATAAGTTCCAAGATTGGTCAAGTAGAACAAGAAATTGAAAGAACAAATTCTCTCTCTATAATATTATTCAAGCAAAAGTCAAAAGTTCTTACAATGAAAAGTATTCTTCTATTTATACTAATGAGTAAAAACATCCAAAACCCATCAAATTATGGTAATAATTTGATTTCATAAGAATTCTATCGAAACTAGGAAATTTGGCCAAAATTAGAAAATTCGCCAATTTTTTGGCTTGTACGGCCGCATGGTTCAACAAGAAATGGTGTTTTGATTTTCGGTATGCTACCGTGCGGCCGCATGGTGTTTTCCCTATGTAGCCGCACAGGCTTGTTTTTAGGCTCCGATTTTTTCGCTTGATAACAAATTGATCCAAGTTGATTCGGCCTTCGACCCGAACATGAAAGTTGCTCCGTTTTGAGTCCCGAACATGGTTCCATCAATGGCTTCTTGAACGAGCAATCCCATCACTTATTTCACTTGCTTTGCCCTTGATCGCGTCATTGGTCCGCCATCGACTATCAACGGGTCTCGTCTCGCACTTGCCTTCATCGAGCTTGACTCCTGGATCATATCATCCCCTCCTTCTTCAAAAGGATTCATCCTCGAATCTGAACCTGTATCAAACAGAGAGAGATCAGATATATTAAAAGTAGTTGAAACATTATATTCACCAGGTAAATCCACTTTGTATGCATTGCCATTGATCCACTCGATGATTTGAAACGGTCCATCGTCTCGTGGTTACAATTTTGACTTCCTCTATTCTGGAACAGGCAGAGACATTAAATCCATAGGTGTTAGTAGATTAAAACCATAAACAATTTCAAAAGGAGAAAACGAAGTAGTAGAACGTGTAGCTCGATTATATGCAAACTCTATAAACGGTAAACACCCTTCCCATGATTTCAAATTTTTATTGATCACTGTCCTAAGTAGTTGAGTCATAGTTCGATTTATTACCTCAATTTGTCCATCTATTTGTGGGTGACAAGTTGTAGAAAATAATAACTTAGTTCAGAACACGCCAAAAATGACTCAAAAACTTCACGTCCCTATCAGACACTATACTTTTAGGTACTCCATGCAAACATACTATTTGCCTAAAGAATAAGTCTGCAATATTAGTAGCATAGTTAGTTTTATGACATGGTATGAAGTGCGCCATCTTACTAAACCTATCGACCACTACAAATATTGAATCCCGACCCCTTTTTGTCCTAGGCAAACCTAATACAAAGTCCATAGATATGTCTACCCAAGGTTCACTAGGTACAGGCAAAGAAGTATACAAACCATGGGTTGAACCTTATACTTAGCCTTTTTACAAGTTATGCACTTTCCACATACTTGTTCTATGTCATGTCGCATTTTAGGCCAATAAAAATATTCCCCTAACATGTCTAAAGTCTTTTGAACCCCGAAATGTCCCATTAAACCACCCCCATGTGCTTCCCTTACCAATAATTCATGCAAAGAACAATTAGGAATGCACAACTTATCTTCCCTAAACAAATATCCTTCATGCCTATAGAATTTATCAAATGCACCTTTGTCACATGAAGCATAAATACTAGAAAAATCACAATCAGATTCATACATGCCCTTAATATGTTCAAAACCAAGTAATTTAGTACTTAATGAATTTAAAAGCACGTACCATCGAGATAACGCATCAGCAACTATATTTTCGTTACCTTGTTTGTACTTGATGACGTAGGGAAATGTCTGGATAAACTCCATCCATCTCGCATGTCTTTTGTTCAACTTACCTTGACCTCGCAAATGCTTTAAAGATTCATGATCGGTGTGTATCACGAATTCCTTTGGCCATAAGTAGTGCTGCCAAGGCTCCAATGCTCGAACAAGTGAATACAGCTCCTTGTCATATGTCGGATAATTTAATGCTGTCCCACTCAACTTTTCGCTAAAGTAAGCAATAGGTCTCCTTTCCTGCATTAACACTGCTCCTATACCTATTCCTGATGCATCACACTCAATCTCGAATGTTTTATCAAAATTTGGTAATGCCAAAACAGGTGCTTTACATAGCTTATCCTTAATTGTGTTAAATGCAATTTCTTGAGATTCTCCCCAATGGAAACCTACACTATTCTTTACTATTTCAGTCAACGGTATGGTGATGGTGCTAAAATCTCTTACAAATCGCCTATAAAAACTAGCCAATCCATGAAAACTCCTAACTTCAGTTATAATCTTAGGTGTTGGCCATTCTTTTATAGCTTTTATCTTTTCTTCATCGACTTCCACCCTGTTAGCACTAACCATAAATCCTAGGAAAACAACTCTATCCATGCAAAATGTGCACTTTTTGAAATTAGCATACAGTTGTTCCTTTCGGAACACAACAAGCACACAATTTAAATGCTCTAAATGCTAATCTAGGTTTTTGCTATAGATTAAGATGTCATCAAAATAAACTACAACAAATTCCAAATAAAAGTATGCAAAACATGGTTCATTAAACGCATAACAGTGCTCGGTGCATTAGTAAGTCCAAACTGCATAACTAACCATTCATACAATCCATACTAAGTCTTAAACGCCGTTTTCCATTCATCACCCTCCCGCATGCAAATTTGATGATACCCACTCTTAAGATCAATCTTACTAAAAACACAAGCACCATGCAACTCATCGAGCATATCATCTAGCCTAGGTATTGGGTGACGATACTTTACCGTGATATTGTTGATAGCACACAATCCATGCACATTCTCCAAGTCCCGTCCTTCTTAGGCACCAGCAAAACAGGTACAGTACATAGACTCATGCTCTCCTTGACATAACCTTTGCTCATCAACTCCTCCACTTGCTTTCGATGCTCCTTCGTCTCCTCGGGATTGCTTCGGTAAGCTGGTTGATTCGGTATGATAGCTCCGGGTACAAAGTCAATCTGGTGCTCGATACCTCTGATCGGTGGCAATCCACTTGGCATCTCTTTAGGAAACACATCGTCGAACTCCTACAATAAAGACTTAACCAAACTAGGGAGGGATGTGTTAGAATCCTCAAAATTGAGGAGGGATTCCTTATACACTAACAACATCATTTGCCTACTATCGCTCATAACCTTTTTCAACTCACTCTCTTTTGCATAGAAGTTGACCTTTGGCTTTTCTCTCTGCTCAGCTGGCTCTTTTTCTCTCCTCTCAACTGACTCATTTTCTCTTCGCTCATGTGGCTTCTCTCTCTTTTCTCCACTCTCCGCCACCTCACTATTTTCTCTCTTATTGATGGTTTCACTATTGCCTCTCCTTTTTCCTGACTCTCTTATTCTCTAGTCTTCCTCATTTTTCAGCTTGATTTGATCTCCATACACTTGTACCGGTGTTAATGGCGCAAGAGTAATAGCCTTCCCATCCTTGACAAAGCTATAACGATTCCTATATCCATCATGTGTGACCCTTCTATCATATTACCATGGTCTTCCTAACAAGCTATGACCCACATGTATAGGCACCACATCACATACTACTTTGTCACTATAACTCGCAATTGAGAAATTAATTAAAACTCTTCCATTCACCCTAACTTCCCCACTTTCATTCAACCATTACAACTTATAAGGACTAGGGTATCTTAACAATGCTAGTCCTAATTTCTCAACTAAAGTTGTGCTAGCTACATTCATGCAAATTCCACCGTCAATAATCATACTACATACCTTATCGTTGACGTAACAACATGTGTGGAATATATTTTCTCGCTGCTGCTCCAAATCATCCACTTTGACTTGAGTGTTAAGAGCTCTCCTTGACATCAACGATTCCCCAACAGCAAACTCCAATTTTTCTTCTTCTTCAACGTCCTCCAATGCAGGCATGTCCTCGAACTCTCCTTCTCTTTCACTCACCACCTCTCCATTATCCAACAACACCATTACCCGTTTATTTGGGCATTGAGAAGCAATGTACCCTGACCCCAAGCATCTAAAACACTTGATGTCTCGATTCCTTAATGGTTGTGAATCTATTTTGGGTGCTGTTTTGCTAGCACTTTCTTCTTTCCCTTTCTGCCACTCATTCCTACCTTTAGGTACAGCTTTATCACCTTTGTTGTTGTTGTTTCACCCTGGCTTCCAAGATGGATTAACACTCAAAGTTCCTAACGGCTGCCTAGCTGCCCCTTTCCTTTTCAGTTGTCTCTCTACCTTCATAGACACATGCAACATGTCTTCCAACTCCACATAATGTTGCAACTCCACTACATTGGCAATTTCCCTATTCAACCCATTCAAGAATCGTGCCATGGTAGCCTCCCGATCCTCCACCACATCGGCCCTAATCATGAGTGCTTCCATCTCCTTATGATAGTCCTCTATACTTTTCGACCCTTGATATAGACCTTGCAGTTTTTGATGGATCTCTCGGTAATAGTGGCTAGGAACAAACCTCTTTCTCATCAATGACTTCAATTCCTCCCAAGTGCTGATTGGTCTTCCCCTACTCCTACGTTGTGAAGTAATCACTTGATCCCACCATGAAATTGCATAGTCACTGAACTCCAAAACTGTCAACTTCACATTTTTCTCCTCCGAGTAGTTATAACACTCGAAGATCATTTCAACCTTCATTTCCTACTCTAGGTATGCCTCGGGATCACTCCTTCCTTTGAATGAAGGAACTGTCATTTTTATATTTCCCAAGTTTCCATCCAACTCCTCCCCGCGATCATTCTGACCCCGTCTGTTGAACCTATCGCCTCTATTCCTCATCCTTCTCATCTCAACACCGTAAAATTCATCTTCACCCATGTCACTCCCATATCTATACTCCTCTCGGCTTTCCCTCCTAGGCTCCCATCTATCCGGTCCTCTAGCATTGGATACATCCACTCGATGCCCCCAACTAAGGTTAGCCACCGATGTATCTAATCTATTCATCCAAGCCTCCTGCTTCTCCAACCTATCTCTCACATCTCCAAACGCCCTCTCAAACCTCTGCACCAAATCTTTCGATGCATTGTTATTATTGACTTGTCAGCTTGAGTTTGATTCTGCCCTTTCTGACATCCTAACACTAAAAATTTTATTTTACTGCCTCACCAAAAGTCACTCAAAAATGCACAAGGGCTTTTACCTTCTATTAAGCTCACCTCTCTACCTTTTACCGCTCAGTTCTTTCAACAATTGCTTCTAGGGACAATCAATGAACTCAATCAATCAATCATATCGTGTAGAATTCCCCAAACTGGATGTGACTTAATAATTGTAACAAAGGACTCAAAGAAAACTTTTAAAACTTAACTTGAATTGAAGGAATGGAATGATTCAATGTGTCCAAGTAATTTAGAAACGATATTCAATAATAAAATTTGGTATTTAACGGATCAGTAATATTTAACAATTTTATTTTTTTTACTGTACGAATGAACAGTAATTTTTTTTTAGATCCAAAAATCAATAAAAAAACCAACGAAGAAAATGAAAACTGATTTGGGCGAAAATTGAGCCCAGAAACGGAATTTGAAGATTTTTGATGAAACTTTTGGATCAAAGGATCAAGAAAACCTTCTGGATACAAAAACACAAGGAATTGAAAAAAAATTAGAAAACAAAGGATATAACCTGATTAAATTGGAGCCAAAGCTCTGATACCAATTGATACGAACCCTGTAGCAATGGAAACTACGAAACCCACAACGAGGTTGATGCGAAACCCAAGAACGCCAATACTAACCCGGTTTTGGATCTTGAACCCCAAGAATTGAACCAAGAAATGCTAGATTAGCGAAGAACTAAAACCCCTTGATTACAATTAAAAGAACCCACAATCTGATTGTTTAGAATGCTGCAAGAAATTGAATCTTGATAAGTTCCAAGATTGTTCAAGAAGAACAAGAAATTGAAAGAACAAATTCTCTCTCTATAATATTATTCAAGCAAAAGTCAAAAGTTCTTACAATGAAAAGTATTCTCCTATTTATACTAATGAGTAAAAACATCCAAAACCCATCAAATTATGGTAATAATTTGATTTTATAAGAATTCTATCGAAACTAGGAAATTCGGCCAAAATTAGAAAATTTGCCAATTTTTTGGCTTGTGCGGCCGCATGGTGTATTTCCATGTGGTCGCATGGTTCAACAGGAAATGGTGTTTTTTATTTTCGGTATGCCATCGTGCGGCCGCATGGTGTTTTACCTGTGCGGCCGCACAGGCTTATTTTCAGCCTCCGATTTCGTCGCTTGATAACAAATTGATCCAAGTTGATTCGGCCTTCGACCCGAACATGAAAGTTGCTCCATTTTATGTCCCAAACATGGTTCCATCAATGGTTTCTTGAACGAGCAATCCCATCGCGTGTTTCACTTACTTTACCCTTGATCGTGTCATTGGTCTGCCATCGACTATCAATGGGTCTCGTCTCGCACTTGCCTTCGTCGAGCTCGACTCCTGGATCATATCAAGAATGCTAGTTCTTACTGTTCATATATTATGATATGAATATACCAACCAATTTGTTATGTATGGATGATGAGATTCCATTGATACAAAGCCAATACCAATATACTTATTGGAGGGTCCCATTAGCATGCATCCAGTAGGAATTGAACCTACGAATTCGCCAATTATGAGTTGGCCACTTTAACCATTCAGCCATGGATGCTTAGCGAGGATCCTCGTATATGGTGAATAACTAAATTCCAATTGAAATGAAATCTTTAGGATAAATCAATGCAAATTTAGGAGGAATCAATGAAAGGGCATCAATTCAAATCCTGGATTTGTGAATTGAGAGAGATCAAGAATTCTCACTCTTTCTTAGATTCACGGACCCAATTCAATTTAGTGGGATCTTTCATTCACATTTTTTCCACCAAGAACGTTTTCTAAAACTCTTTGACCCCCGAATTTGGAGTATTGTACTTTCATGCAATTCAAAGGGGTCAACAAACAATCGATATTTCACGATCAAGGGTGTAATACTCTATGTAGTAGCGGTCCTTATATGTCGTATGAACAATCGAAATATGGTTTAAAGAAAAAATCTCTATTTGAGAGGGCTTCTTCCAATACCTATGAATTCCATTGGACCCAGAAATGATACATTGGAAGAATTCGTTGGGTCTTCCAATATCAATAAGTTGATTGTTTTCCTCTTGTATCTTCCAAAAGGAAAAAAAGATCTCTAAGAGCTGTTTCCTGAATCCGAAAGAGAGTACTTGGGTTCTCCCTTTTAGTAGCATGCCTGAATCTAACTGGTTCGCGATGGTGGAGGAACTTGATCCAAAGATATCTAATAAAACCATCGTTGGAATTCAGATCTTATTCAAAGAGAAAGATATCAAATATCTGGAGTTTCTTTTTATATATTTTATGGATGATTCGATTCGCAAGGAGCATGATTGGGAATTGTTTGATCGTCTTTCTCTGAGGAAGAGATAAAATAGAATCAACTTGAATTCGGGACCCCTATTTGAAATCTTAGTGAAACATTGGATTTCTTATCTCATGTCTGCTTTTCGTGAAAAAAATACTAATTGAAGTGGAGGGTTTCTTCAAACAACAAGGGGTTGGGTCAACTATTCAATCAAATGATATTGAGCATGTTTCCCATCACTTCTCGAGAAACAAGTGGGCTATTTCTTTGCAAAATTGTGCTCGATTTCATATGTGGCAATTCCATCAAGATCTCTTCCTTAGTTGGGGGAAGAATCCGCACGAATCAAATTTTTTTAGGAACGTATCGAGAGAGAATTTGATTTGGTTAGACAATATATGGTTGGTAAACAAGGATCGGTTTTTTAGAAAGTTGCGGAATGTATCGTCAAATATTCAATATGATTCCACAAGATCTAGTTTCGTTCAAATAACGGATTCTAGCCAACTGAAAGGATCTTCTGATTAATCCAGAGATCATTTAGATTCCATTAGTAATGAGGATTAGGAATATCACACGTTGATCAATCAAAGAGAGATTCAACAACTAAAAGAAAGATCGATTATTTGTGACCCTTCCTTTCTTCAAACGGAAGGAACAGAGATAGGATCAGACCGATTCCAAAAATGCCTTTCTAGATATTCCTCAATGTTCCGGCTATTCACGGAACGTGATCTGCTTCTGGAAGAAATCGAAGAATTTTTAGGAATCCTACAAGATCCGTTCATTCTTTTTTCCCTGATAGATGGTTAAAACTTCTTCTGGGTTCGAATCCTACTGAGAGGTCCACTAGAGATTAGAAACTATTGAAGAAATGACAAGATATTTCTTTTGTCCCTTCAAGGCGATCGAAAAATAAAAAAATGGTTAATATATTCAAATAATTACGTATTTACAAAATAATATCTCAATTCATCCGATTTCATCAAATCCAGGGTATGATAAGGTTCTGAAGGATGAACCGGAATGGGCAGTTCAAATAAGATTTCATTCTTGAACAAAAATCCATTTTTTGATTTATTTCATCTATTCCATGATCGAAACAAGGGAGGATACACGTTATACCACAATTTGAATTTGAAGAGAGATTTCAAGAAATGGCATATGCTCTGGTGTATCATAAGGGGTTTGCCTTTTCTTTTGATTCCTGCGGATTGGATCAAAAATAATTCTTGAATGAGGCTAGGGATGAATCGAAAAAGAAATCTTTATTGGTTCTACCTCCTATTTTTTATGAAGAGAATGAATCTTTTTCTTGAAGGATTATAAAATATGGGTCCTATCTCCAGCGGGAATGATTTGGAAGATCCAAAACCAAAAATAGTCACATTTGCTAGCAACAACATAATGGAGGTAGTTAAATAACATAGATTGATCCGAAATTTGATTCAAATCCAATATAGTACCTTTGGGTCCATAAGAAATGTATTGGATCAATTCTTTTTAATGAATCGATTCGATCGCAACTTCGAATATGGAATTCAAAGAGATCAAATAGGAAAGGACACTCTGAATCATAGAACTATAATGAAATATACGATCAACCAACATTTATCGAATTTGAAAAAGAGTCAGTTCGATCCTCTTATCTTGATTTCTCAAACCCAAAAATCCATGAATCGGGATCGTGATGTATATAGATACAAATGGTCAATTGGGAGCAAAAATTTCCAGAAACATTTGGAACATTTCATTTATGAGCAAAAGAGTCATTTGAAAGTAGTGTTCGATCAATTACATATTAATCATTATTCAATTGATTGGTCTGAGGTTATCGACAAAAAAGATTTGTCTAAGCCACTTCGTTTCTTTTTGTCCAAGTTACTTCTTTTTTGGTCCAAGCTACTTTTCTTTTTGTCCAGCTCGCTTCCTTTTTTCTGTGTGAGTTTTGGGAATATCCCCATTCGTAGGCCCGAGATCTACATATATGAATTGAAAGGTCTGAATGATCAACTCTGCAATCGGTTGTTAGAATCAATAGTTCTTCAAATTGTTCATTTGAAAAAATGGAAACCGCTCTTATTGGATGATCATGATACTTCCCAAAAATTGAAATTCTTGATCAATGGAGGAACGATATCACCCTTTTTGTTCAATCAAGACAGTTGGCTGAATCCCATGAAACATTTCATTGAAGTTCATTAATATCTTCTTTTTATAAAGCAAGTCGACTATGATTCTTGAATAATCCACATCACTTCTGCTTCTATTGTAACACAAGATTCACTTTTTCTATAGAAAAGGCCCGTATCTATAATTATGATTTTACGTATGGACAATTCTCAATATCTTGTTCATTCACAACAAAATAGTTTCTTTATGCATCGGTAAAGAAAACATGCTTTTGGGGGAGAGATACTATTTCACCAATCGAGTCATAGGTATCTAACATATTCATACCTAACTATTTTCCACAAAGTTGTGACGAAACATATAACTTGTACAAATCTTTCCATTTTCCAAGTCGACACGATCCATTCATTCGTAGAACTATTTACTCGATCGCAGACATTTCTGGAACACCTCTAATAGAGGGACAAATAGTCAATTTTGAAAAAACTTACTGTCAACCTCTTTTAGATATGAATCTATCTGATTCAGAAGGGAAGAACTTGCATCAATATCTCAATTTCAATTCAAACATGGGTTTGATTCACACTCCATGTTCTGAGAAATATTTACCATTCGAAAAGAGGAAAAAATGGATTCTTTGTCTAAAGAAATGCGTTGAGAAAGGACAGATGTATAGAAGAGATAATGCTTTTTCAACTCTCTCAAAATGGAATCTATTCCAAACATATATGACATGGCTCCTTACTTCGACATGGTACAAATATCTAAATTTGATATTTTTAGATACTTTTTCAGACATATTGCCGATACTAAGTACCAGTCAAAAATTTGTATCCATTTTTCATGATATTATGCATGGATCAGGTATATAATGGCGAATTTTTTCGAAAAAATTGTGTCTTCCACAATGGAATCTAATAAGTGAGATTTCGAGTAAGTGTTTACATAGTCTTCTTCTGTCTGAAGAAATGATTCATCGAAATAATGAGTCACAATTGATATCGACACATCTGAGATCGCCAAATGTTCGAGAGTTCCTCTATTCAATCCTTTTCCATCTTGTTGCCGGATATCTCATTTACACACATCTTCTTTTTGTTTCCCGAGCCTCTAGTGAGTTACAGAAATAGTTCAAAAAGGTCAAATCTTTGATGATTCCATTATTTATGATTGAGTTGCGAAAACTTCTGGATAGGTATCCTGCATCTGAACCGAATTCGTTCTGGTTAAAGAATCTCTTTCTAGTTGCTCTGGAACAATTAAGAGATTCTCTAGAATAAATACGGGGTTCTACTTCTGGCGGTAACATGCTTGGTCCTGCTTATGGGGTCAAATCAATACGTTCTACAAAGAAATATTTGAATATCAATCTCATCGATCTCATACCAAATCCCATCAATCGAATCATTATTTAGGGAAATACGAGGCATCTAAGTTATACAAATAAAGAGATCTATTCATTGATATAAAAAGGAAAAAACGAGAACGGTGATTTGATTAATGATGAAGAAAGAAAATTCTTGGTTCAATTCTCCGCCTTAATGACAGAAAAAAGGATTGATCAAGTTCTATTGAGTCTGACTCATAGTGATAATTTATCAAAGAATGACTCTGGTTATCAAATGATTGAACAACTGGGAGCAATTTACTTACGATACTTAGTTGACATTCATAAAATGTATCTATTAAATTATAAGTTCAATACATCCTATTTAGCAAAAAGATGGGTATTCCTTGCTCATTATCAGACAATCACTTATTCAAAAACTTCGTGAGGGAGTAATACTTTTCATTTCCCATCTCATGGAAAACCTTTTTCACTTTCTTAGCCTTACCCTCCTCTAGGGAGATTTTAGTGATAGGTTCTATAGGAACTGGACAATCCTATTTGGTTAAATAACTAGCGACAAACTATGTACCTTTCATTACGATATTTCTGAACAAGTTCCTGGATAACATGCCTAAAGGTTTTCTTATTGATGATAGTGATGATAGTGATGATATTGATGCTAGTGCTGATATCGATCGTGACCTTGATATGGAGCTGGAACTACTAACTATGATGACTGTGCTA